AGCAGCAGCAGCAGCAGCAGCAGCAGCAGCAGCAGCAGCAGCAGCAGCAGCAGCAGCAGCAGCAGCAGCAGCAGCAGCAGCAGCTAGGAGTTTGCTTGGAAATGCCGCGGGAGAAATGGTGCAGCAGAGCTGCATGCAGCAGCAAAATGAACTTTTGTCTTTTCATTTTTGAAGTGTCTGCAGCAAAGTGGAAAAAGAACTTCGAAATAATTTTTGAAAATTAAATTAATTCTTTTGCTGCTGCAGCTGCAGCAGCAAAAGAATTAATTTAATTTTGCTGCTGCAGCTGCAGCAAATGCAACAATAAACCATTTAATTAAACTGCAGCACTTTAATTGTTTTTTATTTTTGAAATTAAATTCAAATCTTTCCTTCAAACCCCAGGCGCTCGGGTGTATCTCCAGCTCAGGGTGTCTTTCTGCAACTCCAGCCCAGATTTAATTTTCTCTTTTGTTATTTATTTCTAATTTATTTTATTTATTTCTAATTTATTTTACTCATTTCTGATTTATTTATTTCAAAGTTATTTTATTTATTTCTAATTTGTTTTATTTATTTCTGATTTGTTTTATTTATTTATAATTCATTTATTTATTTATAATTCATTTAGTTACTTATAATTCATTTATTTATTCATAATTCATGTATCCTTTTTTATAATTAATCTCCTTGTTTCTTCTTTTATCTAAAGTTAATTTATTTGTTACTTCCACAGCAGCCACTTCAGTGTTAATTAAATAATAATTAAAATAAATAAATAAATAAATAATTAATTAATTAATTAATTAATTAATAAGATGAAGGATGCAGAATTCAAACTATGGGACTTGGTGTGTACATACAGCTGAGAGAATCTGAAATGAATTTCAACATTCTGGATTTTCTTTTTTGATTTAATTTGAAATTCAATTTTGAATTTGATTTTGAAGTTCAAATTTAAATTCAATTTTAAATTCAAATTGAATTTCGAATTTTAATTTTAATTCCAAATTTAATTTCAAATTGAATTTCAATTTCAAGACAGAGAGCTGGAGAGCCTCTTGCATGGGAAGGAAGACGTGAGTTGAAAGAGAAGGAAATTTGCAAAGATGAATTTAATTATATTTTTATATTTAAATTTTGATTTAAAAAGTAAAATAGTTTTGAAAACTTGCAAAAATAAAAGAAAACAAAGGAAGCAATGTGCTGCTGCTGCTGCTGCTGCTGCTGCTGCTGCAGACGCGGCTGGCAGCCGACGGGGGCCGGGAGTTCGCGTAGTGCAGTTAAAGCCTTTTGGATCTGAAAGTTAAATTTGAATTAATGAAATAGTTTTTAAGAAGTTTAAATTTGCAAATGAAGCGTGGGGCTCGGGTGTACGTACACCGCGTGGGTGCACGAGATCCGGTGCACGCGGAGAGTCCATTCAGGTTTGTTCTTTGACTGGAGAGTTTTGCGCCAGAACTTTTATTTCGGAAGTTTTTGCTTTTTAATTACTTTTGTCTTTTCCTAAATGCGCAAAGATCTCAAGTTGGAGTTCGTTTTCCGCAGCTTTCCGCGGCGAGCCGGCGGCGGCGCCGCGGGAGAAAGCTGGCCGGTTCGCAGTGGATCTGCGGAGTTTTTGGATTATTTTTCTTGAAAAGAACATTTAAAATGCATTTTGGACTTTTTAAAAACAAAAAAGATGAAAAAAAACGCCATTATGTCCCGCTTTCCCGTCAGCGAGCCTCTTTCTGCAAACTCGCCGGCTGTCCAGACACTCGACAGCGTGTGCCAAGAGTTCTCCGTCGTCGACTTCTTCTTCTTCCACTTTTATCCAGAAAGAATCAACAGAACACTTTTGGCCTTTACTGCAGCGCCCAAAGGCCCTCAGTGGCTGGCTGCTGCGTCCCACAGCAGCAGCAGCAGCAGCAGCAGCAGCAGCAGCGACGCAGCAGCAGCAGCAGCGGCAGCAGCACCGCACGACGCAGAGCCGGAAACAAGAAAAGAAGCAACAAAAGAATCAGTTAGAGCAGCCACAGCAGCAACCAGTGCAGCAACAGCAAACGAAACTCCGAAAGAGCAGCAGCAGCAGCAGCAGCAGCAGCAGCAGCAGCAGCAGCAGCAGCAGCAGCAGGAAGAAGCAGTTTGTGTCTTTGTGTGCAACGAGTTTGGGCAAACTTTAGAGCGTTTGGATTTGCCTGCAGGAGAGAAAATAAAATCAATAAAGTGGATAAGTAGTGAGTTAATAATTTTAATGAATAAAAACGAATTTAATTCATTTATTCATTTAAATAAATTACAAGAATTAAGTTTATTTAATTCATGCTAGCTAGCTTCGAGCCAGACAAATAGCTAGCTAGCTAGCTAGCTAGCTAAACCGCTAGCTAGCCAGCTAGCTAGCTAAACAGTTAGCTCGCTAGCTAGCTAGCTCAATGGCCAAGTGGATAAATAGCTAGCCAGGCAGATACTTAGCTATGTATCTAGCTAGCTAGCTAGATAGCTAGCTAGCCAGGCAGCTAGCTAGCTAGCTACCTGCACAGTTAGTGAGCCAACTAGCTACTTAGCCAACTAGATGGATAGCTAGTCAGCTGGCTAGCTGCATGTGCTTTTGAAGAAGCTAGCTAGCTAGCTAGCTAGCTAGCTAACTAGCTAGCTAGCGACTATCTAGCTGGCAAGCCGGATAGATTGCTACATGGGCACACTATTTAAGGGCTTGCTGGCTAGCTGGCTAGCTGGCTAGCTGGCTAGCTAGCTAGCTAGCTAGCTAGCTAGCTGGACAGCCAGCAGGGTAGCTAGCTTGCTAGCTGTCCTGCTAGCCAACTATCTAGCTAGCTAGCTAGCTAGCCAGCTAGCTAGCTAGATATCCAGCCATCTACCTATCTATCTATCCAGCTAGCTAGTCAGCTGCCTATTTATCTAGCTATCTATTTATCTAGCTGGCCAGCTAGCTAGCTAACTAGCTAGCTAGCTAGCTCTCTGCCTAGCTAGCTAGCTAGCAGGTAGCTAGCTATGTAGCTAGCTGCCTATCTAGCTAGCTAGCAGTCTAGCTAGCTAGCTAGCTAGCAGCCAGCTGGTTTGTCAAGAACGGCAAAGTCTTGGGAAAAGAACAAAAAGAAGAAAAAATTTAAAAAAGAAATTCTGAAAAGAATTTCAAAATCGGAAATAAAAAAAGAAATTTTTAACTCCAAAAACCTGCAGACTTTAATTCCAGAAAAGAAGTAAATAAAAGAAATTAAAAAAACAAAAATAATTTAAACAAATAAAGTGGATTTAAATAAACATGAAATGATGAAAATGAATAAAAAGAACTTAAGTAATAAAAAGAATTTAAGCAATAAAAAGAATTCAAATAAATAAAAGAAAAAAAATACAAAAAAGAATGAAATAAATAAAAACAAAATGAATAAAAACAAATCGAACAAAGTAAATAAAACAGAATAAAACGAAATAAATGATTAAAGTAAATAAAACAAACCAAATAAAACCAAATAAATGAAATAGAAAGAAATAAAGCAAATAAAATAAAACTAACTAAGAATAAATAAGAATAAAAATAAACAAATATATATAAAAATAAATAAAAATAAATAAATTAAAT